GGACCTAAGCTAGCTACAGAACGTGGACCAGTGGACGCTGAACGTGGACAGGTCCGGTGCAGGACCGAAGCACTCCCAGGCGGGTCGGGCGGGGCAGTCCGCAGGTGTAGATGGAAGAGGCCAGGCTCAGAGATCCCGTCATCGTACCATGAAACAGACAATGGGACAACGGGTGAATAGCAATGAACAAACTACAGTCAGAATCCTAAAAATGCTAAACAGATAAAGTAGGAAGGAGGAGAGGATAGTGCTCAAGTTACCATACTTCTCCCAGCAAACTGACTCCCTATGCAGCTTGACTAACACTCTGAGGAGTTTAACCTTCTCCGAGTCTTACCTTCCTAGCCATATGCTAAACTAAAGAGGACTGTTTTAAACCTAGCCTTGAATAAAGAATAACATACAGCATAATATATAACATAATATACAACATAACACAATACATTATTGAATAATATATAACATAATATATAACATAATACAGCATATATATATAATATATACACTACATATTATATATTACCTAATTATATGCTAAATTAAAGTAAAGTGCTTTAAGCCTGGCCTTGAATGTGGAGACCGTATCTGCTTCCTTAACATAAATGGGAAGCTGATTCCACAGTAAAGGAGCTTGGTAGCTAAATGCTCTGCCACCAACAGTGACCTTTGAGACCTTAGGGACCACCAGACGTCTGGCGTTTTGTGAGCGCAACGCTCGACTTGGTTGATACGACACTAACGTGTCTTGGAGATAAGAAGGAGCCAAGCCATTTATGGCTTTATATGTTAAGAGTAGGATTTTAAACTTTATTCTGTACTCCACAGGGAGCCAGTGGAGTGATTTTAACACCGGAGTTATGTGCTCCCTCCTTTTGGTACCTGTTAAGATCCTAGCTGCTGTATTCTGAACGAGCTGGAAGCTCTTCAAAGAGGCTTTAGGGCACGCTGCCAGTAAAGCGTTACAGTAGTCGAGCCTTGAGGTGACAAACGCGTGAATGAGTTTTTCCGCGTCACTTTTAGGAAGGAAATTCCTAATTTTAGCGATGTTCCGTAAGTGGAAGTACGCCGTTTTAGTTGCTTGGCTTATATAAGCCTTGAAGGAGAGTTCTTGGTCAAAAATGACTCCAAGATTCCTCACAGTGTTACTGGGTATTATACTGACATTATCGAGAGTAACCGAGAGATCAGGTCACTGTCATTTGGCTGAAAATGCATCTTCAGTTTTGCCTGTATTGGAGCAATCATGGAGAGAGTGGGGTTTTTTTCTTCACTGAGAAGTACAGTACCAACTTTTAAAGGCGCCATCAACTTGATGATCTCTGGAATGAAGATCATGTCACCTTCTGTGAGTGTGACGAGAGCTTCTCCTCTCTTCAGCTTCTTGGACAGCAAGGCATTTAACACAGCAGGTTGCTGTTCCCAAAAGCGTTCCAGCATATCCAGGGAACTATTCCACCTAGTGGATACATCATGGATGAGTTTATGGATGGGCAGGTGCAACTGTATTTGTGTCTCATGCAGTATTTCAGTGGCTTTGGAGCTCTTGTGGAAAAAGGTGACCAGCCTCCTCACCTTCAGCAGGATTTATGAAACGTCCTCTACTTCTTCTCTCCTCTAAAACTTTTTGTGAGGCCAAGTTGAGCGTGTGTGCAATACATCTCACGTGTGGGTCCAGCTCAGCTTGAGCACCAGCTAGTAGCATATTTCTAGCATTATCACTGACCAAAGCTGGGTCTTTGTCCTCCAACTTCCACTCCTGACACACATCTCGCAGTAAGGCCGCTAGATTGATCCCCGTGTGCGACTCGTTAAACACTCTGGTCTGTAAGACGTGGCTTTGAAAAGACCAAGCCTCATCCACGTAGTGCACCGTAACTGTGATGTACGAGTCTGTTGCGCAAGACGTCCACCCATCCACAGTTAACGCAACTCTCTGGGCTCTCTGTAGTGACTCCATAATCTCCCGTTTCACTTTCTCGTACAAAGCAGGTATTTCTTTCTCCTTAAATAATTTTCTGCATGGAATTTTGAACCGCGGCTCCAAAACGTGAAGCATGTATTGGAAACCCTCGTTCTCCGTCACGCTGTACGGCTGCAAAGCTTTACAAATGAAGTAAGTTATAGTGTCAGTGACAGCTTTGGCACGGGTAGAATTCGAGGCAAGCGGTCCATTAAAAAACTTTGAAATGTTGGGTTCACCGCATGAGACGGGCTCGGAACTAGCATCCGCCACCTCAATGTTTATATTGTGTCGCCGTTTCACGTGGGCTATGAGGTTGGTTGTGCTGCAGGCGTAATGGCAGCGTTGCAAAGTTTGCAAATAGCATTAGATTTGTCACGCTTCCCATCTGTCTTGTAAAATCCATAGTGCTGCCAAACCTTTGATTTGTAGTTCGCTGGTGAATATATCCGATTGTGCTCCTGTGATTCCATGTTGTTGTGTTAGCAGCCAGCTGGTGCTAACACCTCCCCACAATCCACTGCACCCCTCCCCACAATCCACTGCGAAAAGGTGAAGTTGTGAAACTATTTCGTTTTGATTAAATCCATAAATGTCATAAATCGCAATTTACCGATGCAATAGTCTGAAATCCGGTGTACTCTAAAATAGTTATCTTACATGAATCGATCTGTGGCTGCTTTTGCCGGTGGACTTGTCCGTGTATCGATACAAATCGGTGTATCTTCCCATCACTAAAGGGTAGGGTTAAGTATGTGATTAACACTCACTCAATGATGGGCCCAGAGAGTGTGAAAAGTATTTTTGTCTCTTCAAACAGCTTGTGTTTCAATGACAAAGAACATCAGAGTCAGATTTAGGCGATCATTAGTTAGACACCTGTTAGGATTAGGTTTAACACAAGCACCTGTTACGATATAAACTGTGTACTGCCTTTATTATGTCTGAGAGAAAGAAACAATTGAAACCACTGGAACTTGAGAGAAACTTAAATAAACTTCCAGAGTTTGGCGCACCACGATCCGTCTCTGTCTGGTTCATTCCTGACACACATTTACAGAGTGACTGTGGCCATAGACGGTGATGAGTCATGATAAGTACAGCACCAATCAGCACATTACACGTTCCAATGTGGAAGAATTAGGGGAGCGGCTTTAAGTCCAGTACCAGAGCTTTACTTCCCCATTTCCACAGCCGAGGGAACAGGTACGTGACTAAACTATCACTGAACTTAGCTGCTATCGGAGCTGTTTTATTGAGGCCTCATCAAAAACCTTAAACAATGCTGGGTTCACACCAAAACGCGTTTTGGGTGTCCAAAGCGTCGGGTTTATATTGAAATAACATGGGGGACGCGCTTTTAGGGGCGTCAAGAGATCCCGCTGCGCGTCACGCGCCTCCCGAGCAGCGCGTCTTCGAGCGTTTTGCGCTTCTGGCGCGGCGCGTTTGAAGGCCCCGACTCCACCGGGCGCGTAAAACGGACGACGGATCCGTCCAAATGTGTCCGTTTCATCTCCGTCTCCGTTATCTCCATGAATGGAAGCGGCTCCACTGCCTCCAACATCCGTCCGTCTGACGCGCGTAGGGAGCAGTCCCTCCACGGAGGGTGCAACGGACGCGGACAGACAAAATAGAAACAATCCTATTTGCTCCGTCCGTTGACGCGTGTCGGGTCCGTTTTCCATTAAAAATACAATGGAATAATATATTTACCACATTATTAAACATGTATTGATATATGCTGTGGTCCTGTTTATAAGTATTTGTTAATGACAATGATTATTAACAAATGTGTGTAATTATTTTCATGCATTAAAGTGAAACAATTGTTTCCTGATCGTAAATCTACCATTCATTTTTCGCGTAATGTTAATACGCTAATCTTTACATACACCTCGCTCTTTTTCCTCTCGCTCTGTCCCCTCTACCTCCGAGGCGCGCTCTCCTCACCGCCGCGCGCTCCCACGCACGCACAGACACACACACACACACACACACACACACACACATTGCCCACAGAGCTGCACTATGAGAGACAGATCTCACAACACTGGAGTTGTTGGAGTTCTTTCCTCTTTTCTCTCTCCCCTTTTTCCAATTGCTTTGAATAAGTTTTGCCTCATCCATTGCGACGTCCTCGATGCTTGAATATGCCGTGCTTTGCATAGATCATAGCCACAGCTCATGCAAATCACACAACGAGTCTTCTATTTAAAACAATTCCTCACGGGGTGCTGTTAAACGCACAGCCAAAGCTCCGCGCTGCTGCAGCCGGTTTGGCCACTATTCCGTTTTACGGACGTCTGTTGGGCAGCAGCCATCGCGCGTCAACGGAGACGCGCCCGGTGGAGTCCAGGCCAAAATAGAAACAATCCTATTTGTTCCGTCCGTTGACGCGTGTCGGGTCCGTTTTCCATTAAAAATACAATGGAATAATATATTTACCACATTATTAAACATGTATTGATATATGCTGTGGTCCTGTTTATAAGTATTTGTTAATGACAATGATTATTAACAAATGTGTGTAATTATTTTCATGTATTAAAGTGAAACAATTGTTTCCTGATCGTAAATCTACCATTCATATTTCGTGTAATGTTAATACGCTAATCTTTACATACACCTCGCTCTTTTTCCTCTCGCTCTGTCCCCTCTACCTCCAAGGAGCGCTCTCCTCACCGCCGCGCGCTCCCACGTACGCACGCACCCACACGCACAGACACACACACACACACACACACATTGCCCACAGAGCTGCACACGAGAGACAGATCTCACAACACTGGAGTTGTTGGAGTTCTTTTCTCTTTTCTCTCTCCCCTTTTTCCAATTGCTTTGAATAAGTTTTGCCTCATCCATTGCGACGTCCTCGATGCTTGACTATGCCGTGCTTTGCAGATCATAGCCACAGCTCATCATGCAAATCACACAACGAGTCTTCTATTTAAAACAATTACTCACGGGGTGCTGTTAAACGCACAGCCAAAGCTCCGCGCTGCTGCAGCCGGTTTGGCCACTATTCCGTTTTACGCTTGTTTCACACCGCACGCCGAGCGCAGAGCCGAGCGCCCTTTCCAGCCGAATTACCTCGCGGCGAGCGCATGTATTCAGACTTGACGCCGAGCGTGGGCGAAGCGCCTAGACGAGTAGCACGCACAAAAGGAGTAGTATTGTACTCCAAACTAATAAACATGTTGTATATTTACATATGTTGTCTGAAATAACAGGTCAGAAATCAAAATAGCACATGTAGACCTTAAATAAATTGCTAACATTTCCTTATAATGTATCTTGCCTATTTTGATTGTCGTTTCATTATCATGTGTGGTGTTGGAGGGTGCTGCTCACAAAGATAAACATGACACCAGAACATGTGGACACAACTGTTGTAGTTTGTTGCATCTTACACAACTATTTAAGCAATCCATCAGACAATCGAAGATGGTTGGAGGAGTCTAACCAGGGACAAATGTGCATGTGTAGGTCAGTTGGAGAGATGGGTGGCCATAGACCAAGCCAAGAAGCTGCCTCAGTAAGACAGAGATTCACTGATTATTTCCAGTCAGCAGCAGGAAACAAAAGTAAATGTTACTTGGCATTTTAAATTTGTATATAAACATAATGCGTGTATACTGTTTCTTTCTTATTCCTTTGTAGTAAACACATATTTTAAATGCTTTCTATTTGAAATCGTAATAGCTGTATTACATTGATGTTGTTAATTTCTTCTGTTTTTTCTTTTGTATTTTCACTTACATTTTTTTGGTCACTAATAAATACATATCTTATCTATAAAACACATACTTCTTTTGTTATCAAACTTTTAAAAAAAGTTTACTTTTTGTTATTCAAAGTTAATGCTTTTAAAGTTATATTTTATTGTATATTTGCTAATTAGCAGTTTAAATAGCGTGTGCCCTCCTATCACATGAATACAATCACTTGTTTCACTGTTTTGGAGTTCGACTTTATGCATGCGATGTTGTGAACACAATACATACCGTCTAAACCTAGCATGGCTCCAATAACCTGCCAGGTTATTTCTTTCTTTCGAATATCTTTGTAGTTTGGGTGTCCTTTACTAAACAATTCGGGGAAGCCCTCCACGGCCTTGATGATGCGTATGTCATCCATCTTCACATGTGCTTTCTTTTTTGTGAAAGGAAAGAAGTTTCCGCAGTGTCACATCATGTCACGTGACACGCATACTTCTATCTCCTGGTTAATACTAAAGAAATACTAGAATAATTATAAGATTGGAATAGAACTGTTATGTCGCCTTGAAATTACAATTATATTTTATGCATAAAAAAAAAGTATGACATGCACTGAAAGAAATAATATGTGGACTTTACTTGAGCAAATCCAGGAAACCGATTGCCTTGAAAGAGATAAGTGTATGTGGCTTATTGTTTTGAAGTTATATTAACAATTAATTTCAAGTAAAGTTGACTTCGATACAGTAGTGTTTACTTAAAAATCGCTAATACTAAATACTTGTCTCCAAGTGTTGGTAACTCATCAGTTTGCAGTAATGTAAACTGAGATACCAGTAGTGCTTAGTTGAAAATTGCCATTACAAAATACTTGTCTTCAAGTAATGGTAACTCACCCATTTCAGGCAAAGTTAACTTTTATATCAGTAGTGTTTAATAGGATTTTCTAGCTGCTGAATACTTGCACATTGCAAGTAAATTTAACTTAGACTGTTTAGGTATTATATACTGAGGTAGCCAAGTTTGTGCTACTTAAATCATAAGCTCATACCAGTAACTGAGACAGTAGAGAAAAACAGGAAATGTTTATGATAGTGTATAAAGGTTAAATTACCAGTATGGTAGTCTTGTTAATAACAAGTATTTAATAGTAGGTGGAGATTAATATTTGGTACATAAACTATGGTTGTAGTTACAGAGATCAAATCAATTCCTGTGGTTCATAGGGTGTGCCCACACTCTAGCAGGGATTTTGAGCCACTCCTCCATACAGATCTTTACCTAATCTTTCAGGCTTCCAGAAGCGGTAACTGAGCAACATGAGTTCAACTCCCTCCACAGATTATCTTTGAGTTGAGGACGGGTGATGTGATGTGCCGCCAGGACCTGTAATGCTTCTCACAGTGCCACTAGAGTATAGTGCCTGGGTTGTGTTTGGGGTCATTCAAAACTGAAAGGACCCAGCCCTGATCCATCTCATTACTGAGGGAAGACCCCAATAACCCCAAGCACAAAGTCAGGAAAACCACATAAAGTGGCTACATAGAGGCAGTTCATGGTCCTGGAATGGCCTCAGTCTCATCTCATCTCATTCCAACAGAGAACCTTTGGAGGGAATTGAAATTCATGTTGCCAAGTGACATCTCCAAAACCTGATCAGATTCGAGAGATGATCTCAATGGAAGACTGGGACAAAATCTCTGCTACAGTATGGAAAAAGTGGTCAATGGAAATGTTTGAACCTCCGTCACTGCAGACCTAGGTTTTCTGCACCAAATATTAAGTTCTACTTTTGTAATTGTTCAAATACTATTATCCCCCAAACAAGATCATCTGTAAATTTATAAATGAGATTTGTTTGTTTTCCACTCTCATAATTTTGTGTATTTGTCCCCACTGTATATTGGAATTACGGTTTTGCTATATTTGGGGGTTTATCCGATTCCATGCATAGGTCATGTTAAAATCCAGACAGATCATGAATTGCATCGATCAGCATTGCAAAAAAAAATAAGCTGTAAAGAACCTGTTTAAAAATAACAGTCTAAGTATATTTGTATGAAAGGTGAAATAAAACAGAAATTAAACCCTTTTTTGTGGCCAACAAGGCAAAAAAGTGTACATGAGTGCTGAACAAATGTGTAAAACATTGTCATTCAACTAGGGGAAAAAATGCTGAGGTTCAAATAGAACTTTATAAAGAACCTGTACCGAATTTCGTTCCAAAAAATAAAAAAAAATAAAACGACACTGGTCCCAGTATAGTTGTATAAGACGGTTATTCTCAACTGGTGGGTTGGGATCCAAAAGTGGGTTGTAAGCGTTCTTGGGTTGTCCCTTAGGC